CACCCAGCTAACCTGCACCACACCTGCCTCTACCACCTCTCTCTGTTTTCACCACTGACCATAGTCCCTATTCCTCTGGCTTTCTGAAAGTTCTTGGCCCTCCTCTTCTTCCAAAAACTCTCACCCATTGGCTCTCATGGCTCTTATGCATTTGAGTTTCTGACCATTCTTCTCTCAGTGCCTTCTAGTTAAGGACTACCCTATATCATAAAGTTCTAGGTAGGCTTTTTTTTTGAGGGGGGGGGTCCGGTTATGGGGCTTGAACTCTGGGCCTCAGCTCTTCAGCTCAAGGCTAGTGCTCTACCACTTGAGTCACAGCACCACTTCCAGGTTTTTCTGCTTATGTGGTACTGAGGAATCGAACCAAGGGCCTCATGCATGCAAAGTAAGCACTCTACCACTGAGCCACCTTCCCAGCCCCCGCCCCAGGTTTCTTTTAAAAAGCATCTAAAAGGGGGTTGGAGCCTGTAATCCTAGCTACTCAGAAGGCTGAGATCTAAGGATCCTGGTTTGAAGCCAGCCCAGGCGGAAAACCCATGAGACTCTTATTTCCAATTAACTGCTGCAAAAGCCAGAAGTGGAGCTATGGCTCAAGAGGTAGAGCACAAGCCTTGAGCACAAAAAGCTCAGGGACAGTGCTCACATGTTGAGCTCAAGCTCCCAACACTTGCAAAAGCGGGGCTGGGCTGGCGGTAGAGCTCAGTGGTACAGCACATGTTAAAGCATACATGAGGGCTGGGAAGGTGGCTCAGTGGTAGAGTGCTTGCCTTGCAAGCATGAGGCCCTGGGTTTTTTTTTTGAGACCAACCTGGGTAACAGAGAAAAAATTTGTCTCAAAAGAATAAAAAAAAGCCAAGCACCAGTGGCTCATACCTATAATCCTAGCTACTACTCAAGAGGCTGAGATCTGAGGATAATGGGTCAAAGCCAGCCGGGGCAAGAAAGTCTGTGAGACTCTTATCTCCAATAAACCACTCAGGAAACTGGAAGTGGTGCTGTGGCTCAAGGGTGCAAGACTTGAGCTAAAGAGCTGAGGGACAGCGCCCAGGCCCAGAGTTCAAGTCCCACGACTGACAAAATAAAAAATAAAATAAGAAATAGGGTGTGTGGGGGGGGGGGAAGGGGGAGAAGGAGAAAGATTGGGATTGGGGGGAGGGGGGAGGCTGGGAAGGGATGTGAAGGGTAAACAAAAGGAGGAGGATGCAATGCTTGGTAAGAAATGTACGCATTATCCTGCCCATGTAACTGTAATGCCTCTGTACAGTATCTTCACAAATAAAATTAAAAAAAAATAATAATAAAAAAGAAACAGGGTGTGAAAAAACTTTTAAAAGTCAAGATAATAGAAAATAGAAAAGATTCCCATAGAAAAGAACTAGAAGGAGCGGGGAAGGTGGTTCAATGGTACACTACTTGCCTTGCATGCATGAGGCCCTGGGTTCGATTCCTCAGCACCACCTAAGCAGAAAAAGGCAGAAGTGGCACCATGGCTCAAGTGGTAGAACACTAGCCTTAAGCTGAAGAGCTCAAGGACTGAGCCCAGGCCCAGAGTTCAGGCCCTACAACGGACAGAAAAAAAAAGAACTAGAAGCAGCTGGGTACTGGTGAATCATAACTGTAATCCTAGCTACTCAGGAAGCTGAGACTTGGAAGATTGTGATTCTTAAAACTAGCCCAGGTAAAAATTCCCATTTCCAATTTTACCAGCAAAAAGCTAGATTGGAAATGTGGCTTACGTGGTAAAGCATCACTGTAAGCAGAGAGACAGCGTGAGGCTTTGAGTTCAAGCCACACACCAGAACACATATACAAACATACACAATAAACTAGAAACAATAAGTCGTTTTCCAAAACTTCCTATGAAGTAGCTCTGTAGGCATAGAAATGAGCTGCAGAAGAGCTGGTCACTGAAGTACTTCAGACAGAGGTCAGGAGTGCTGATAGTATGTTGTAATGGAGACTTTGGCATAGGTAAATCGAAGCAGATGACCTGAAGAGGCCATTCTCTTAGGATTCTGAGCAATCCTCTAATAACTGGAAATGAAACCACTCAGAGCTCATCTAAAAGGAAGCAGAAAAACCCAAGACTCCTGAAATGAACTCAATATAAGTAGATCTCATACTAAAAGTATGGACTGCAAAAACCTGAAACCAATGCTCACAAAATTGAAAATCTTCTTGAGGCCTGGGAATGTGGCTTAATGATAGAGTGCTTGCCTAGCATGCATGAAGCCCTGGGTTCAATTCCTTAGTACCACATAAACAGAAAAAGCCAGAAGTGGCACTGTGACTGAAGTGGTAGAGTGCTAGCCTTTAGCAAAAGAAGCTCAGGGACAGTGCCCAAGCTCTGAGTTCGAACCCCAATATTGGAAAAAAAATCTATGACCAGTCTCCAAGTTTTGGGAGAAAAATTAGGGAGGGGTACGCACTACCTTATGTAACTATACATCACCTTGACAATAAATTTGTTTTTTAAATTTCTTGAAAAGGCATAAGGCAGGGGCTGGGAAGTGGCTCAGTGGTAGAGCACTTGCCTTGCATGCTCAAGGCCCTGGGTTCGATTCCTCAGCACCACATAAGAAAAAAGCTGGAAGTGGCACTGTGGCTCAAGTGGTAGAGCACTAGCCTTGAGCTGAAGAACTGAGGGGACCACGCCCAGGCCCAGGGTTCAGGCCCCAAAAGAGGATCCAAAAAAAAAGAAAAAGAAAAGGCATAAGGCAACTCATTGAGTTGTGATAAAAACTGGAGACTCAGAAAACAACCAAGAAGGAACCCAGGAAGAGTGGGCAATGACAAAGGACATCAGCACCAAGGTGACACTAGCTCAAGGTGACAAAGGCACCAGGAAAGAGCCAAACAGACCTGCTGGGTTGTGTCACTTGTTTCAGATTTAAAGTTTGATAATGCTTAAGTATAGGTCACAAACTCTCAAATGACAGCTGACAAAGATCAAAGATATTATCTGGACTTAAATCATCTTGTCTGGGAAGCAGAGCCTTACCTCACATTAAAATTCACAGAATGTCAGGTTTCCCCACATGCTTAAGGTGCCTTTTTCCTCAGCAACCTACCATAAGCCTGATAGTTCCTTCACAGGCCCAACTGAGGCTGTAGAAATCCTGGCCATCTATTGAGGCTTTAAAACTAGCCCTCTCCTCTACCTCTAGACCACCTCCCCTGCATGAGCCCTCTTTAAGCAAACTTGAGAGACCACATGGAAAAGGTTTACAAGTGAGGCTGCTGTGAAAACTCCCTACTAACTCATCATCTCTCCCTTTACTTGCTGAGGATCTGAGGACATTTCCACATGGAGGACTTCCCTTCTGGCCCTGCCTCTAGTTTCTCTTACCAGTAGTCATCTTGTGGTATTAGTCTCCTTAAATCTGTCAGAGAAGTGCCAGGGGCCAGGGGCTCACACCTGTAATCCTAGCTACTCAGGAGGCTGAGATCTGAGGATTGTGATTCAAAGCCAGCTGGAGCAGGAAAGTCTGTGAGACTCTTATCTTTAACCACCAAAAAGCAGAAGAAGAGCTGTAACTCAAGTGGTGGAGCACTAGCCTTAAGCAAAAAAGCTGAGATAGTACCCAGGCCCTGAGTTAAACCTCAGGACTGACATGCACACACATACATACACACACAATTCCAAAACAAAACACTGGTTTTATATTGCAAAGCCTGTTAATGTCACTCATAACAGAAGACAGCTGGATTTTCCTATCGGCTTCTGAATGTTTCTTTGTGAGAGGTTTTTGTTTTGCTTTGTATTCAGACAGGCTATATAGCCCAAGTTGGCCTGGAAATGGATATCCTCCTACATCTTTCTCCTGGGGTTACAGTTGTGCATCACTACCCCAAGTTCTGGTTGTTTTGGCTGGGATGAAGGAAATTCAGTCTCACACAGAAACTAGTTGAAACAGAGATCACACTAGGAGAGGCTTCCCTTGAGAGAAAGGGAAGAGAATACTAATTTGTGTGTAAGAGAAAGACAATTTTATTTTTAGGCTGAGACCAGCTGTGGTCCCTGGCAGAATGGCAAGGGTCCTGGGTAAGATGGAAAAGTCTATGAATCAACTTATTAAGCTATTCCTGTGGACAGGGCATGTGATCCCAGCACTAGGAAGGCTGAAGTAAGAAAAACCTCAAGTTTAAGGCCAGCCTGGGCTACACTAGCAAGGCCCTGTCCAAAAATAAAAAAAACACTTCAGTGTTAACAGGTGGCTCAAAATTGAACAATTCACTGAGACAGACATCTTTTGTTTTCCTTGTGAGGATATTGAAGTTAAGAGGAAATATGCAGCTTCTCTAAGGCTATATAATATACATTGATCTCCTCTTTAGAAGCCTATCATCTGCACTTCTAGATGAGGAAAGCTAGGCTCAGAGAGGACAATTAGCTTGCCTAAAGTCATACAGCAAGTAGGAGACGTTGAACGTAGAACTCCGTAACGGAGCCTACACTCCCACTAACCATGAAATCCTTACCTTGGCTTGCAAAGACCTACATTTCTGTGGTACCCGCTTTCTCTGACCTCTTGATTCATTCTCCCCAGTCTCACTGGCCTTTCCGTTCCCCCACATTGTCAAAGTCACGTGCACAAACTGTTGCCTCGGGTGGTCACGCTCCCGCAGCTCCCGCAAGGCTGGCTTCCAATCACCCATCCCCGCTCACGCGGCCCCTCCTCAGGCCATCCCTGACCATCACCTCACGGCACTTTAACCAGCTGAACAAGGTTAATCCCAATCTTTTTCGAGTTATTTTCTCTCTCCTCCGCAGCGACATTAGCTCAGAGAACCATTAAAAGTCTACGTCTAGGGCCTGGGAAAGTAGCTGACCGCTCAGAAGACTAAAAACCTTCTCCTCAGTTCCAACGACTGCAACGGAGGCGCGTCCCGGGCGGGAATTTGGCGGCGCGGGGCCTCCTGGGAGTTGTAGTCTGGCAGGCCAGCCCACGACGCGCGGCCTCCCGGGAATTGTAGTCTACGGCCCGGTCCCGCTGCAACGTGACCTGTGCTCTCGCGCGCTCGGTACTAAAGACGCACGGGGGCCGCGGTTGCCATGGCTTCTCTGCGCGGGGGCGGCGGGAGGCAATTCTGCTAGGCGTTGGCGGGCTTCGGCGGCGACCCCGAACCGGAAAGCGGAAGGAATTTTGCGAGGTGAGTCGCGGAAAGGCGAAGTGCGGGGAGCCCAGGGGAGGGCGGGGCGGGGCGCGCGGGGGGTGGTTTCTCCCCACCCCCAGGTCCCGAGTAGTTTGTCTTTTCAAACCCACCCTTTTCTCTGCGCGTTAGGCGGCCTCAGCATCCTCAGTTTACCCATATTGCTAACCAGCCGACCCCTAGGAGCTGGCCCCAGTCCTCCCTCCAGGAAAGTGGCAGATCCAGTCCTGGTGCCCAGGCCTGACCGACTCCAGGTCCAGAGTCTGCTTTTCTTTTCTTTTTCTTCCTCAGTATCTCTAATCTTTCTCTGCCCCTATGCTTGAAACATCGTCTCGCCATGCAGCCCAAGTTGGCCTCAGTTTCCATCCTTCTCCTTCTGCCTACCAGGTGCTGGGGTTACAGTTGTGCAGCACCATAACCAGCTCCCAGGGGCTGTTCTTTGCATTCACAGTGGCAACCCCAGCTTTTGCTTGATTACATCCTAAGACTGAAGGTTGGGTAAGGATCTTTAGATCCTTATGACGACCCGAACCCAACCTCTCTCATCAGTGGAAGTCACTGTGTATGCAGCCTTGAGGGAGATGTTTGTTGAATGACTTTGGAAGGAAGTTCTGCAATTAAAGATGGGCAAGAAAAGTTTTTCTATTAATTTAGTATGAATATGCTAAAACGAACGTGCAATATAGTGAGATTCTGATGGCCTTATTGAGCCTATAGTTGAATAAATGTGGAAACAGGTTGGGAGATATTAAGCATTAACTTTTTCTTTTTGTCAGTCATGGGGCTTGAACTCTGAGTCTGGGCTCTGTCCCTGAGCTCTTCAGCTCAAGGCAAGTGCTCTACCATTTGAGCCACAGTGCCACTTCGGCTTTCTGGTGGTTAATTGGAGATAAGAGTCTTACAGACTTATCTGCCTGGGCTGGCTTTGAACCATGATCCTCAGATCTCAGCCTCTTGAGTAGCTAGGATTACAGGCATGAGCCACCAACCTCCCAGCTTAAGTATTAACTTTCAAATTTACAGAAATAAGAGGGAGTGGGGATTCTAACCTAGGTTTCATTTTCTCTACCTTCAAAACCTATGTACTTTATATGCTACCTTTTTTTTTTCAGCAACCTAAATTTTTACTCATGACAACTTCAGGGAATATCTCTGAAGATGGGCCTCTGGCCATCACCTTCTTGAGGGATGTATTAGAAAGGACTGTTCCTGGGCTGGGATGGTGCCTCAGTGGTAGAGTGCTTGCCTTGCATGCATGAGGCCTGGGTTCGATTCCTCTGCACCATCTAAACAGAAAAAGTCCGAAGTGGTTCTGTGGCTCAAGTGGTAGAGCTCTATCCTTGAGCTGAAGAGCTAAGGGACAACACCCAGGCTCAGAGTTCAAGATCCACAACCAAGAAAGCTAGCAAGAAAGAAAGAAAGAAAGAAATGCACATTCCTAGGCCCCCAGCTCAGATTCATTGAATCAGGAATTGGGACTAGGGCTTAGCAGTCTGTGATTTAACAAGCCCTCCATGATTATGATGCACAGCTACATTTGAGAAATAGTGTCTTTCATTAAATCCCCCAATTATTTAATATTTATTTGGTGCTGGGGAATAAACATCCTGTACCTTGAACATGCTAAGCAAGTTCTCTCTTTTTTGGGGGGGGGATCCAGTTGTGGGGCCTGAACTCTGGGCCTGGGCACTGTCCCTCAGCTCTTCAGCTCAAGGCTAGTGCTCTACCACTTGAGCCACAGCTCCACTTCCGGCTTTTTTTCTTTTTGCTTATGTGGTGCTGAGGAATTGAACCCAGGGCCTCAAGCATGCAAGGCAAGCGCTCTACCACTGAGCCACCTTCCCAGCCCTAAGCAAGCTCTCTCTTGCTCACACTGGTTCTCTCTCCCCTTTCTTCCCCTCTCTCTTTCCTCTGTCCTCTCCTCTCCTTTCCTCTCCTCCCTCACTCAGCTTTCTTGCTCACAGCTGGTACTCAACCACTGGAGCCACACTTCCAGTTCCTCACAGCTGTTCAATTGGAAACAGAGTCTCACAGACTTTTTCTCAAGTCTCAACCTCCTGAGTAGCTAGGATTTAAAAAAAGAAAAGTGCAGACCTGTGTCCACTGATGCAAAAATTGGGAAAATGACTGGTATGATGGTACAGGTCTGTAATCCCAGCTACTTGAGAGACTAGAGCAAGAAGATAAACAAATTTGAGGCTAGCTTGGTGAACTTAGCAAGATCATGAAAAGGAATGGGGAATGTAGCTGAGTGGTAGAGCACTTGCCTAACATGTCTAAAGTTCAATTCCTAGCACTGGGGGAGAAAAAAGGAAATAAGAAAAGAGAAAGAAATTGGGGAGATGGTCAGGTTGGGGGAGTCTATGCTGGGAATTGTTGAGGACCTGATGGAGGTGAGCTGGAAATGTACTCCATAGCCTGCTACAATTCCCATTTATGTTTTCCTATCCATAGCAAGCATCTGGCCCATGTGGCAGAATGGCGCTGAGCCACTCACTGAAAGAGCGGACCATCTCAGAGAACAGCCTGATCATCCTGTTACAGGGCCTCCAGGGCCAAGTAACCACTGTGGACCTGCGGGATGAGAGTGTGGCCCGTGGACGCATTGACAATGTTGATGCTTTCATGAACATCCGACTGGCCAAGGTCACCTACACAGACCGTTGGGGACATCAGGTTGAGCTGGATGACCTTTTTGTGACAGGCCGCAATGTGCGGTATGTCCACATCCCAGATGACGTGAACATCACTGCAACCATTGAGCATCAGCTACAGATCATCCATCGTGTGCGCAACTTCGGTGGCAAAGGCCAAGGCCGGAAAGAATTTCCCTCAAAAAAATTTAAGTGAGCCTGGGTGCCTGTGCTTATGCCTGTAATCCTAGCTACTCAGGAGTCTGAGATCTGAGGATCACTGTTTGAATTTAGCCTTGGCATTCCCTATGAAACTCTATCTCCAATTAACATTCAAAAACTAGAAGTGGAGCTGTGGCTCAAGTGGTAGAGGGCTAGCCTTGAGCAAAAGAGCTCAGGGACAGTGCCCAGGCCCTGAGTTCAAGCCCCATGGCCAGGAAAAAAAAGAAAAGAAAAAAAAGTGAGGCTGTCCCCCTAGCAAACTCCATCATCAACTCAGGGTCCACCTGTATTCTGAGCCAGATCCCTGCCATCTCTCTCTGCCTGGAGCATGGTGTCTAACAGATGCCATCTTTCACAGGTGCCTTTCAAGGGTCCCACCTCTCAGGCTCACCCTGGGACTCAGACTCCTGTCTGCCTGTGGCCTTGGGGTAGTTGACAAGCCCTCTTTTTTGATCATTTGTGTTGGAATCAGTGATTTACTAAACTAGGGTGTGTCAAATGATTTTTTTTAACGGTTTGCAGTTGTGTTCATCTCATAAAACTAAACTTGGATGCAAACAAGTCCATGCTTCAGTGTTCTCCCTGCTGTGTGCTGGGCTTCCTGTCCTGAATAGTAGGCAAGAAGGAGATCTCAAACCTGGCTAGACAATGGAATCACCTGTCTGTCCACCCCTAAGGTCAGATTTAATTGATGTGGAGTACAACCCAGACACTAGGACTTCTAAGTTTCCCAGATGATTCTGGGAAACACAACAGAAAGAATAAGACCTATAGTAGGAGTACTTGAGTGTGGTCAGATGGAAAAGGGCCTGTTTTCAGAGGCAATTAATTTCATTGCTGTTTCTGGAAGCTGAGAGGGTGGAGTATCCCAGACCTTCCCCTCAGGTGTGGGAGTTCAGTTAATAGCAAGAAATCAAGCAGAGCACTAGTGGCTCACACCTATAATCCTAGCTACTCAGAAAGCTGAGATCTGAGGATCTCAGTTCAAAGCCAGCCCAGGCAGGAAAGTCTGTGAGACTCTTTATCTCCAATTAACTACCAGAAAATCAGAAGTGACACTGTGGTAGAATGCTCAGGGACAGCATCCAGGCCCAGAGTTCAAGCCCCACAACCAACAACAACAAAAATAGCAAGAAGTCAGTCCTCAGTTCTAAGAATCGTTGGGTCTGGATTGGAGTTGCCCTCTATATTCTAAACCTGCCACAGGCAAATGACCACCTCAGTGAAAGTAACTGCCCTGTGGATCCAGAGTTTATGTTCATCAAACAGACACAGAATAACAGCCATGGGCTTTTTGCTGAGCACACGACAAAATAAGATTTGAACTTGGTCACAAGGAGCTCCTAGTCTAGAGCGAGAGAGGGTCCAGAAAAAAACTAAGATAAAATCCAGTTTGAGAACAGCCATACCTGAATTCTGAATTAGTCAGCCCACTGAACTTAAAGCACTTGTATTTCATGAGATTTGAGAGAGGATTATCTATTTGGCACCAGCAGGCCAAGGTCACTGCATTCCTATTCTAGCTCAGTCTTTATCAAAGTGTTGCCTGTGGATCATCAAAACTAGAATGTATGCAAGGAATGCTCTTTCTTGGCTCAGACTGGAACCAGAATCTACATTATTAGCCACCTGCCTGCCATGATTCTTTTGCACACTGTGTTTATCTCATTTTCTAGGAGCCCATAACTTCCCTTTGTGTTCAGAGAGGACAGAGGGTCCCAGCTAGGAGAAACCATATCTCATGAGTTTCCAGGCCCTTCTGAAGAGACCAACACCACAAGCTAATCACTGTTAAGAGACACTAGGGCCAGTCCCAGGAGGGAAGTCCTTGCTTTAGAAATGTCAACAGATCCTCAGCAAGTGGGAGGAAAGATGATGAGCTGGTGGGGAGTTCCCACAGCAGCCTTCCTGGTAATATGCTCACATTCCAGATGATGTGAGCATCATTTCATAGGTGAACATTAGTCTAAAGTTGCTTACAAGCTTGAAGAGAGCTCATGCTGGGGGAAGGGGTGGTGTAGGAGTAGAAGACAGGTCTGACTCTGAGGCTTTAGTGTGTGCTAGGGACTTCTACAGCCTCAGTAGGACCAGTGAAGGAAGCAGCATCAGGCTGTGTGGGTTGCAGAGGAGAAAGGCTCAGGATGTGTTTCCTCCGTATCACCTTCCCTGAGGGGCCTTCTGTTCTTCCTGAGCAGAATTCTGGAAAGATAGATGGGAGGGAGAGGAGTCAATCTCTGCTGTGACTTAAGCCAAACCTCAAGAGGAGAGCACAGCAATGTCTGCAAGCCTCAAGAAAATGGGTCTCTTGTGGCCTGGTCTTGGATTGCTGCAAAATGCTGTCAGGGGCCCAGTTAAATGCTGAGAAGGCCTAGGGATTACCAGCCTATGAGAAGCCAGAACTCCCTGACTGCCATCTCGCAGGGAATCAATTACCCACCATGCATGGCAAAGCACACTGGCACTAACTAAGGGAACAATATGATAGATAAGAATCTTGCTCAGCCGGGCGCTGGTGGCTCACGCCTGTAATCCTAGCTACTCAGGAGGCTGAGATCTAAGGATCCCGGTTCAAAGCCAGCCCGGGCAGGAGAGACCCTGAGACTCCTATCTCCAATAAACCACCAGAAAACCGGAAGTGGCGCTGTAGCTCAAGTGGTAGAGCGCTCACCTTGAGCTGAAGAGCTGAGGGACAGCGCCCAGGCCCAGAGTTCAAGCCCCACGACCGACAAAAAAAAAAGAATCTTGCCCCCTAGGTGACTGATACTCTACTGAGGGAGACACAATAAACCAAGAAAGAAAAATATGTATAGAAACTGTGAAGGAAATAAACAGGGTGAATAATGGAGCTAATTTTATTTTGGAAAATAGTCTGAGGAAGTGAAATAAACCAAGAAGGTACCTGCCACTTAAAAGGCCAAGAGAAAGCAGAGGGAATTGCTAGTGCAGGTTTTGAAGTGGCAAAGCTAGGCTGTTATCCACAGAGACAAGTGAGGTGGAGAAAGGGGTGTTGGGCCACATGATTACAGGCCTTTGGTTAGTGTAACTGGTTACAGTTTCTCTCCTCTCTCTTGCCACAGCTCCACTTCCAGCTTTTTGGTGGTTAATTGGAGATGTCTTACAGACGTTCCTGCCCAGGCTGGCTTTGAAACAAGATCCTCTGATCTCAACCTCCTGAGTAGCTACGATTATAGGCATGAGTCACCAGTGCCTGGCTTCTCTTTCCCCATAGGTGCAATGTATTTTTAGTACTATTAGTTCATCTTTCTTTTTTCCCTCTCCCCTCTTCTTTTTCTTTTTGGGGAGAAGGACGTATGCTAGAGACTGAATCTGGGGCCTGCATTAAGCACATAATCTATTAAGCTACACCCTAAACCCTGGTTCTAATTTCTCATGTGCAGAAAATAGAACTTAGATTTTTTTTTCTTTTTTTCGGTAGTAGGGTTTGAACTCAGGGCCTGGGCATTATCCCTGAGCAATTTTGCTCAAGGCTAGCACCCTACCACTTTGAGCCACACTGCCACTTCCAGTTTTTTGAGTAGTTAATTGGAGATAAGCGTCTCACAGGGACTTTTTTATCTGGGCTGGCTTTTAACAATGATCCTCAGATCTCAGCCTCCTTGCTAGCTAGGATTATAGGTGTGAGCCATTGGCACCTGGCCTGGATTTTCTTTTACTCACTTCAATTCCTGTTTTCCCAACTCAGCCAGAGTGGCAGAAACGTAATTGCAGATGCTTCAGAGTTCTCATCACTTTCCTCAGAATGATATCTGGATTCTGGGGCATCTTCTTTCCAAATGCCAAAGCCAGGGAGGGGCTCTCTGATGTGGTGATCATCCAGTCACCTTGGCATCCACTGACAGATTCTCATTTTGTCTAGTCTTTGGGCATCAGCCCTAGAAAGTTGCTTACTTACCCAACACCAGTGACTCTCACCTGTAATCCTAGCTACTCAGGAGGCTGAGAGGATCACAGTTGAAAGCCAACCCAGGCAGGAAAGGCCGTGAGATTCTTCTCTCCAGTTAACCCCCAGAAAACCTTTAGAAGCAGCATTATGGCTTAAGTGGTAGAGCACTGGCCTTGAGCTGAAGAGCTCAGGAACAGTGCCCAGACCCAGAGTTCAAGCCCCACGAAAAAGAAAGTTGCTTATTTAATCACTCCCTAACCAAAAGACCCCTCTTTATGTCACTATGGCTCATTGTCAGGAAACAAGTTAATTAGATTCCTGCTTTCCTGCTCTCCTCAGACTATGTTAGAGCCAGAAGTTCTTAGGTTAGGACCAATTTAGTCAAACGCAGCCCACAGCTTCTCAGCTGCGTTTCTCAAGAGGGTTTTGTTACCTCCCTGATGAGGCACCTGAGAAAAAGCCAGCATTTGTCCCCTAAGCAACTCCTGAGTACCAGCTGATGTCCCCAGGCCTAGAGAAGTTTCTCTGTGGAAGGGGACCCTTTTTTCCATCCCACTATTAGGTTCCCACATCCCCCCATTCCAGTTTCCTAAATTTGTTTCTACATAGAAATTCTTTCCATTCCTCCCTGCAAGCTGGGCTTTGGAATCCAGAAGCTAAAAATGGATTCTGCATTCATTCTGTTGTACTCTTCATTTCCTGGAGCAACAAATGTGCAGTAACCTAACTGCATAAGGGAGGGGCCCCGGAACACCAAGGAAAAGATTGAAGTCATAGTTTCAGATAGTATTGTGCCATCCATGTCTGGATTACCACGGCCTTTGTTCAAGCTCACATCTATACTTTCTGCAGCTTTAGCTGACGTGCACCCCAGTTGATGACAGAACCCAAGGAGTTTTGAGAGCTCAGGTGACACTGCCCCTCCCTGGAAATAGTCCAAAAGTCTATTGCTTGCATGGAGGAGACTGCCAGGGAGGGCACTGGAGAAAGCCCAGTGGGCATGCAGCTTACAGGTCAACTCTCCCTATGGAGATATCATGTCCACCTCTCAGCATGGCTGCACTGGGTGGACTTAGACTATTTCTGTGAGTTCCAGTCTGATATGCCTGGCTCAAGGATCTATAAGGGCAACAGCAATTCTCTGAATGTTGTAGAAGGGACTAGAGAAGCAGCACACAGCTGAAATATGACAAAACTGGTTTAGTCTGCTATGGGGTGAAATTATGCTCTGGAGTGGTCATCCCAGTCTGCTGTTCCT